TTTTGGTGAGGCTATTTTCTTACTGCATAACACTGCATTGATTTGATGTCATGCTAAATAATATGTATTACGTTATACAGGTTTGGAGGCCACTATTTATGCCAAACTACCCGATCTGAAATATGAGTACTTTAATTACACGCACACAAAAATGGAACCTGAAATAGCATTACTGTCTTGCCCCTGCACTGCAGTATGGGGGCAGCCATCTTTAAGTCCTGTAGGGCCCCCTCTCTCCTCCTTTCGCTGGCTTAGAGTGAGAGCATGTGCTCAGAGCCAATTAAATCCTACAAAGTCTTCTCTAAGCATTGGACCTCAATGTGGCTCCTGTGACATCAGACGGGGTGTGACGTCCGCCTTACCATGTATTTATGCAGTGACATTTACGCAACACAATTATATTACATATCATCCTTTAATTTTAGTTATAATAAAATGATAATTTTCCTTTGAGAAGAATTTGGAATACATTATAATTTGCAGAGAGTGTAGGATCCATTGTGCAGTATTCCAAATAATGATCCCATTTAAAATCATTTGATTTATATATTAGAATATATAGTGTTAGTTCTCCAATACTCTTTAGTTTAACTTTTAACCCCTCAAGGACCAAACTTCTGGAATAAAAGGGAATCATGACATGTCACACATGTCATGTGTCCTTAAGGGGTTAAAGGGACACTATAGTCACCTGAACAACTTTAGCTTAATGAAGCAGTTTTGGTGTATAGAACATGCCCCTGCAGCCTCACTGCTCAATCCTCTGCCATTTAGGAGTTAAATCCCTTTGTTTATGAACCCTAGTCACACCTCCCTGCATGTGACTTGCACAGCCTTCCATAAACACTTCCTGTAAAGAGAGCCCTATTTAGGCTTTCTTTATTGCAAGTTCTGTTTAATTAAGATTTTCTTATCCCCTGCTATGTTAATAGCTTGCTAGACCCTGCAAGAGCCTCCTGTATGTGATTAAAGTTCAATTTAGAGATCGAGATACAATTATTTAAGGTAAATTACATCTGTTTGAAAGTGAAACCAGTTTGTTTTCCATGCAGGCTCTGTCAGTCATAGCCAGGGGAGGTGTGGCTAGGGCTGCATAAACAGAAACAAAGTGATTTAACTCCTAAATGACAGTGCATTGAGCAGTAAAATTGCAGGGGAATGATCTTTACACTAAAACTGCTTTATTTAGCTAAAGTAATTTAGGTGACTATAGTGTTCCTTTAACTAAAGTTGTGTCGATTTCTTTGTGTGACACAAAGTGTAGGCCACCAAAGCTAAATTGCAATCTGCTGCTTAGTGAATTTCTAATAAAATATAGAAGAGAAAATATATAACATAAGTGTTCATATTTAACCCTTGTTAGGCACATCCCTTTTTATAACTAATTTTACAAAATGTGACCTCTTTCCAAGTCCTACAGACCCAAGCACTGCTTTGCTGCCATCTAGTGGTGAAATGGTGATTGACAGACATTTACACAATTCAGAATGGAGCTATACCCATCAAATGGCCTTGTGTGCCCAGGACACTTCCTAGTTTTGAGTTACATCTGAAGTTGGGGAGGATTTATATTACGGTTTGGTAAATGCATCTGTTTGAGCCTATTTCACCAACAAGAAAGTGCAACTCAATTTTTTTTCACAGTCTGACTATTTTTGGCTGAAACTTTGCCATTTATGTCAATTTTCCACATTTCACCATTTAGTAATTAAATGTCACAACACAATTCAGTTTTCACATTTTGCACTTGTTACGGTGTGTTATCGTGCCACAGGCTTTACTTTCATTATAGAAATTCTATGATGAGCAGTTAATTTGTGTTATATAGAATTACATTCAGTCGTACACGTGCTTATTGGCATCTTTCATTTCAGAATCCATGACAATCTGCGGACAGAAAGTTTGTTATGTCGTCTACCCCCAGCCCTCCATCCCGGACGATGACCTGATGCCCTATGACACAGAGGTTACAGAAAACTCCCTAAAAAAGCAATGACTGGTGCTAAAAGTCAGATGTAGCATTTGGTTTACACGCTGATTTTTGGAAAGAAGACAAGAATGTACTTGAAAACCTAGCATTGTAGAGAAACCGTGAAAATAAGGCTCACAGTGGCACATCATCAGAAGAACACAAAGAACGAAGTGTGTATTGGAATGGATATGCAAAAAAGCAGACGAAAATGCCACGCCATGGATTCCTTCCTATTATAATACATTAATTAAACCTCTTCCTGCCAGGGACAAGCACAATGCGAGGGCTCCTGGCATTAAATTGATTGATGTACAGTATATTCTGAGAAAATACCATTGGGGTCCCTTTTATGTACATTGCTCCATCATATATGTTGATTAAAGCCTCATTTTCAACCACGTGACGCTCAGTCTCTATAAGTGTCAAATTGTCTATATGTATAAGTACTTGTTAAGGCAAGCATTCTCTAGTAAAGGCAGATTGTTTTAACATTTTCGCATTCTTTACACCAAGTTTTAAGAACTATAAGGTAGCGGACTGCGTTGGTTACTCGGGGGAGTGAGAATTGTACAGAAACGACAAGGAATTACAAATAATTTCAGGTCAAAATTTAGATTAAGGTGGATATATTAGAGGACATTTCCAGTTCAGCTAATTGGATCTACAATTTGCAATTTCCAAAACTTTGTGCACAATTCTTAATTAAGTGCATAATCTCATTGGCGAATTAAAGTTTTGTGGAGTTCCAGCTCTGGTTGTCAAGGGGTTAAACTGCAAAACGCTGCACAGACTAGAGTTACTCTGTAAATGCATTTTCTGTAATATATATATACACACACACAATATATTGAGAATCTGCAGGCATTATCTTGCTACAAGAATGGAAATATTTGGCTGGTTGTTGATACTGAATTAGATAGTTGATTTAATGAGATGACATTTATTTTTGCACGTTATTTGCATAATTTCAAAATTTAGGCCAAAGAAAGTCAAACTATAAAAATCTTATAAAAAGAAAAATGAAAAAGTAGATAGGGGACACAAACAACGATGGTAAGAAGTATGCCGAATTTAAAGGGACACTATAGTCACCTGAAAAACGTTAGCTTAATGAAGCAGTTTTGGTGTATAGAACATGCCCCTGCAGCCTCACTGCTCAATCCTCTGCCATTTAGGATGTAAATCCCTTTGTTTATGAACCCTAGTCACACCTCCCTGCATGTGACTTGCACAGCCTTCCATAAACACTTCCTGTAAAGAGAGCCCTATTTAGGCTTTTTTTATTGCAAGTTCTGTTTAATTAAGATTTTCTTATCCCCTGCTATGTTAATAGCTTGCTAGACCCTGCAAGAGCCTCCTGTATGTGATTAAAGTTCAATTTAGAGATTGAGATACAATTATTTAAGGTAAATTACATCTGTTTGAACCAGTTTTTTTTTTTCATGCAGGCTCTGTCAATTATAGCCAGGGGAGGTGTGGCTAGGGCTGCATAAACAGAAAAACTGATTTAACTCCTAAATGACAGTGAATTGAGCAGTGAAATTGCAGGGGAATGATCTATACACTGAAACTGCTTTATTTAGCTAAAGTAATTTAGGGGACTATAATGTTCCTTTAATTATAGTTGTACTTTCCCTTTAAACCCTACCCTGGTTCTAAACGCCCAGAAAATCCGTTTGGCATCATAATAAATGTAAACCAGGCAGTGAATTAAGCTATTAATTCATTTGATATGCTTAGACCAGGAGTGCTAGCAATGGAGTTTGGGACAGCCTCTAGTAATCTCAGCCAAGACATGGATGGCTGGCAGTGATGGACTTTGTCTTTAACCCCTTAAGGACCAAACTTCTGGAATAAAAGGGAATCATGACATGTCACACGTCATGTGTCCTTAAGGGGTTAAACAACTGGTATTTCAAAGCTTGTAGCACAATAAATAATTGAATGTGTGGATTAATGTATGCTGCCTGCTCTAAGACCATTTAAGGAACAAGGAGTTTTGAGAATGTTGTAATTGGGAGCGGTCATCAAGCAGAATTAGGAACAGTAATCTAGCTGGGGGGCCACAACGGCGGCACTTTTCAAATGAGTCACAGGGCCGTGACGGTTACCGGGCACGTACCAGCATCGGTGGGCTGGACGGAGGTGCTGACGGAGCCCGGCCACGCTACATGAACTGTCACTTGGACATTGTGCCCCTTGTTAATATGCCATTACTAATAGGAATGAATGACGAGCTAATGTCAGCTGTGGCTGTTTGGCGCGGACTCAGGCATAAAGCTGCATACATGAACTGAATAACACTCGGCCATAACATGATCTGTTCTCCTTGCTGATTGAGCAGGACCATGAAGCGGAGTCCATTACAGAGTAGCAGGAGATAAGAAATATAGAATATATTTCAAACTTTCTTCTTAACCTTCAACTGTTTGCTTGCTACAAGTAACAAAGTGCCTGGTTGTCACTAAATAACCCATGTCTCCAACCAGCTCAGAGTGTCAATGAGTTTGTATCAAAGACAATGGTGCACTGGCCCAAGGGGATCATTGTCCAATTGACCGGCAAGAGTGGAGCGCTATGCGCTCCTCTCCTGGCGGTCAATTAATGTAGCATCCACCGGCTCTGGAGCATGCTGCAAGCTGTGTGGAATCCCCATATTCCTCACAGCGAGGCTGGCGCAGGGGTTGTGGGATTTCTTTTGGTGTGTATTGAGAGAGGAGGCAAACTCAGGTACTGCTCCGGGTGGCAAAAGCTCTAGCAACGCCACTAAATTAGGAAGAGTTGGTGTTTGAACAACCTGCTCCAACCCAACACATTTGTAACTAATTAATGCTCTGAGGATTATTTGCTAAATGTAGGCCACAGCAAACAAGATGGAAGAATCCTTGTGATTTTTCCATTCCTAGTATGTGAAAATATAACTCTGTTTATTATAACAAGGTTTAATTTGAAATGTGAATTTAGAGAGGACAAAAATCTGAACTTCAATTATTGTATTTTTCAAATAAAGACCATCAAAAAAATAATTCAGATGTGTATTAATCATGATTTTGTAACATTATAGATTTTTAAATAGATAGATACATTTTCATATCACATCACCCTCGGCAAACCAAAATCCTATGAATCAGCATAATATCATGTCTACACTGTAGGAAAATGTATTTAAAAATAAAAAACGGTGACCCAGTGTGCTTGATTGGTATGAGAGGGGATCTTGCCCTTCTGAAAATTAAAATGACAAGAGTTTACAAGCAAAGTCACAAAGACACAAAATGAATCATCACTTAAAGGCATTCAGTTGACGACAAGAAATGGAATATATTTTATGGCAAATGTCATTTTTTTTTTTTAAAGTGCCTTATATGCAGTTAAATCAGCTCGGTCATGGATTCACAACTAGTTTTACTTTTTCTTGTTGAAATGGCTTTTATTGTTCTTTTTTGATGCATTTTTTTCCTGTTTAGTTGTTATTCTGTTTTACCGATATGCATATGGTTCTTATCATTAATGAAACATTATATCTTCCCCCCACCCCCCATTTACAAATCATGATATGTTCCTAGAGATTTATATAAGTGTTTGCATCATTAAAGTAAAGAACAGTGTAAAAACGGAAGGGGCTCCGATCGCCTTTCTGTACCATTCATTAATACATAGTTTAACACATTTCCATTCTTTGGAGATTTTAAATTGATGGGGGAAGATATTTCTAGTTGCACTTGCCATTTCCTTCTTCATCTTACAGCAGCTACAATAACAGGAAATAAAGGTATAAAAACCACGTGCAACAGGTCAAGCACTCCCCCACCTGTAAACAGGAATGAAAAATTTTACACATACATATGTGTGTGTCACATATTCTTTTGCATGGGATTGTTTTAGGTATAGATTAACTTTGAAGTCAGAAATGACTTATAGCAGAATGTTTTGTATAAAAATAGATGCTGCTGGTCAGAAATACAAAAAAACCCCAAAAATCTAGGACCAGAAACAGCAGCGATTAAGTTCTCGTTAGCAAACCAGTAAGTGTTCATCATCACTAGTGTCCGAGAGGGGATGAGAGGTCTGTGGTGTTGGCATTTCAACTGGGTTGTAACAATCAACATGTACCCCCAATGGTTCTTCCTGATATGGGGTTACACAGCAGCGTGGATTATCATTCACCTGAATTTGGACATTTACTGAGTCTATGTTATTGGAATTCAGATTCCTGAAAGGCAAAGGCAAGCGTTCATTTGTCTGTTGATGGCTAGGAGTTATATTGCTTATATTTGATTTAGTTCTTTTTGATAGAGGCACCAAACATAAGGATCCGGGGAGTTCAGTGATTAAAGAGTCTCCACTCATTGCTCCTCTCTCCTCCAATATGGCTGGATTAAAATAACTGTGAGTGGGTTCGCTGGAGCGTGAATCTGCAAAAAACAGTTCTGTCGGAGTCTGTGAATTTGAATCAGTGCATGTGTCCTGTAAGACACGTAAAGGGAGCTGGTCTACAGCTCCCAAGTCAAGATGCAAATCCCTGATTGACAAATCACTTGTAGCCTCCTGGTCATTGGTTTGTGTTTGTGTGTCATATCTTTCCGGAGGTGTTGATGGACTCTGCCAGTTTTCTTCATTTATGCTGAGATCAGTCTCACTGATTCTTGCTTGTGAAAGTAACGATGGTGTTAGAAGTGGGATTTGTCCTCTTGCATGTGGTCTGTGGAACAATCTGTTCCAAAGTCGTCCTAAACGACGCCTAGAAGAGGCTCTCCTGGAAGAGTGTCGTCTCATTTGTCGCCTCATGGCTGTTCGAATATTCTGTAACATGGAGACCTGTTAAATAAGAATACAAGGTTTATTTCTTGCCAGATCTTTTAGTAATTTGCGTTCCATTTTTTTCAGGTACTTACTAGTGTATGAACCAGTACACGACTGCAGTGAATCTGCTATTGGTAAAACATTTGGCTTTTAGTAGAAGACATATGGATACAAATCACACAAACAAGCACCTAGTTTGTTTCTTTAGACCTTTAACAAGATAATAGGGCTATGAAACAAGGCAATGAGGCTATGAAAGACTTGACCTCTCACAGTCCATGTCCCTATTCAATGAAAGGGTGCATGGATAAGATATAGAATGTACCTCCTTCCGTTTGTGCTGCTAAAGAATTAGCATTACTCAGTGCTATGACGTGGTTATGGTGTTTGGAGTCACTATGAAACGCTGCACATATACTGAAAATTTACTTTGTTGCTGCAGTGTCATTAGAGCATCATTAGACAGGCGGGAACTATTGCCAGCACTCTCATCAGCACTCACAGCATGCTGCCCAAGTCCTACCATCAGCCCATCCTCTTTGACATCAGTTCCCACGAGGGGAAATGTCAACAGAGGAGGATCAGGCTGTCGGGAGAAATTGGTCTCAGAGCTGGAGAAGGTTTTTACTATTAACCATGCCAGCAAAGGCTACTCCAACCAAAAAGTAAAACACTGTTTTTAGGTTGAAGTAATCCTTTAAAAGAAATAGGTTATTTTTATGATTATTTAAATAAAATACATGAATCTATGTAACTATGTAACTATGTTTTATAACCTGTATGCATACTATTTTTAATGCATGCATAGAAGTAAATACTTTGATATACGTGTTTCTCCTGACTTCCAAGGGAGCAGCCATCTTTCAATCATCATTGATCAGTAGCACCACTTATCCAGCCAAACTCATCTATGTAACGGGGATTCTGTGCCCATTCACAAACTCAGATGTCATGTGATGTCAAGTGACAGGCATCTCAGAAATGCTCTGAGTTGGTTTTAGTCTTTCAAATCCAACATCGTTTGGTCATATGTGTAGTGTTTATGACCAGATTTTAAAAACATTTTGCCCCCACAGTCCAAGGATGACCTTAAAATACATTAGGTATTTACTTATATGTAACTGTATTACAATATAATACCATAGAGGCTGTAATACATTAGCTGCCGTCATGGCCATAAGATCACAGCCACATATCCTCCTTACAGCCAGAATATGACAATACAATGTATTTACTTGAGAGTCACTGAATGCTGGAAAGTCTTCAACGGGGGGGATGAGCCCTTGTGCAATAAGCTGCCCATAGGAGGGTGGAGCGTCGCGTCTCACAAACTCCGCCTCTAGTCGCGTCATCTGTGTTTCAAATGCTCTGATAAAGAAAGCAATCACATTGTGTAGGTGAGGGGGTCATATATTAAGAAGTGTGATACAATAATATGACAGATATAGTATTTGGCCAGATTGCAAGTACATGTTACTGTTACCCAACTTAATAGTATACATTTCATCAACTTTGGAAGGACAAAAGGCTGAATTAACTGAGCTGTAACTATGAGACACTGCAGCTGGCTTCCTTAGCCCCTGGGATATCTATCAGAGTATATAGTGAAGGGGAGTGATATAGTAAGTGTCAATAAATTTAGCTATCTAGGCACAAACAAAAGAAAAATACAAACAAAAATGTTACTCTCACAGATGGCCTTGGGGTGAAAGAGAGGAGAAGGGCCGCACAGCCTGCGGGAAGACCAAAGAATTCCTTTACTTGCTACCCTGATCTGCACCCCACACGCATCCTGGTCCACCCCCAAAAAGTGGTATCCAAGTTACCAGCATCCCTCTCAGTGTGTGCAGTCTCCAAGTAACCAGCATCCCTCTCAGTGTGTGCGGTCTCCAAGTAACCAGCATCCCTCTCAGTGTGTGCGGTCTCCAAGTAACCAGCATCTCCCGGAGTGTGCCGTCTCCAAGTAACCAGCATCCCCCGGAGTGTGCAGTCTCCAAGTAACCAGCACCTCCGGAGTGTGCCGTCTCCAAATAACCAGCATCTCCCGGAGTGTGCCGTCTCCAAGTAACCAGCATCCCCCGGAGTGTGCAGTCTCCAAGTAACCAGCACCCCCGGAGTGTGCCGTCTCCAAATAACCAGCATCCCCCGGAGTGTGCAGTCTCCAAGTAACCAGCACCTCCGGAGTGTGCCGTCTCCAAGTAACCAGCACCCCCGGAGTGTGCAGTCTCCAAGTAACCAGCACCCCCGGAGTGTGCCGTCTCCAAATAACCAGCATCCCCCGGAGTGTGCCGTCTCCAAATAACCAGCATCCCCCGGAGTGTGCCGTCTCCAAATAACCAGCATCCCCCGGAGTGTGCCGTCTCCAAGTAACCAGCATCCCCCGGAGTGTGCAGTCTCCAAGTAACCAGCACCTCCGGAGTGTGCCGTCTCCAAGTAACCAGCACCCCCGGAGTGTGCCGTCTCCAAATAACCAGCATCTCCCGGAGTGTGCCGTCTCCAAGTAACCAGCACCTCCGGAGTGTGCAGTCTCCAAGTAACCAGCACCCCCGGAGTGTGCAGTCTCCAAGTAACCAGCACCTCCGGAGTGTGCAGTCTCCAAGTAACCAGCACCTCCGGAGTGTGCCGTCTCCAAATAACCAGCATCTCCCGGAGTGTGCAGTCTCCAAGTAACCAGCACCCCCGGAGTGTGCCGTCTCCAAATAACCAGCATCCCCCGGAGTGTGCCGTCTCCAAGTAACCAGCATCCCCCGGAGTGTGCAGTCTCCAAGTAACCAGCACCTCCGGAGTGTGCCGTCTCCAAGTAACCAGCATCTCCCAGAGTGTGCCGTCTCCAAGTAACCAGCATCTCCCGGAGTGTGCAGTCTCCAAGTAACCAGCACCTCCGGAGTGTGCCGTCTCCAAATAACCAGCATCTCCCGGAGTGTGCCGTCTCCAAGTAACCAGCATCTCCCGGAGTGTGCCGTCTCCAAGTAACCAGCATCCCCCGGAGTGTGCCGTCTCCAAGTAACCAGCATCCCCCGGAGTGTGCGGTCTCCAAGTTACCAGCATCCTCAAAAGCTAACTACAGCATACGGAGAACTTTAGTTTGAACGCTCTTCTATTCCACTGATGGAAAAACTACAATTATCAGTAAGACCTAGTGCAGTGATGTAATTGCATGAGGCCAATGCTTTTGAACTACAACTACTAAGAGGTGGAAGGGAGGGGGGGCAGAGGTTACTACTCAGTTGGGTCAGCAGCTTGGCATGTGTTATGGTGCCACAAGTAGATCTTCTGAGGGAGACCCTGTGACCCTTTAGGTTTCAGATGTATCCCTTCCAGGTGAAAAATGCAGACTGAGGGCATGGAGGTCAGTGGGTACTATGTGTGTTCTCCTGGGCCTCTGATGTCTAACTGTGGCACATCAACTGTTTCTGAACTCCATTTTATTTGATGCTCTGCCAGTATGAAGGATAGAAAACATTGGGGGTGACATGTTAGGCATCATTGTCCTTATGTGCAACATCTGAAATTAGTACAACAGCCCCATATCACTCCCCCGCCACACACACACACAGTCTCCCCCAACACAACCTACGGCCAACACCACAAAGCACACTTACACTACGGCACACGTTAGGTGTACTGTATAGGTTAGGTTACAGTTGGTTATACTGGGTGGATTTATATTATTAAAGGGACACTCCAGGCTAACCCCCCTCCACGTTAGGTGTACTGTGTAGGTTAGGTTACAGTTATACTGGGTGGATTTATATTATTAAAGGGACACTCCAGGCTCCCACACACGTTAGATGCACTGTGTAGGTTAGGTTACAGTTAGTTATTCTGGATGGGTTTATATTATTAAAGGGACACTCCAATCTCCACCTCAGACATGTTGCTTAGTAGTACATCGAATCTAGACCTAACACTGCAATCTGCTCACCTGTACTCCCTGCTCCGCAGTGAATAGAGTTTGAACGCACATCCTAAAGCTATAACCAATAGCAATCCGCACACGAGGCTCCCAATGAGTGCCGCTGTAATGACTTTTCTAGGCACAATAACAAGGCAGTCCTGTTCGTCGCTCCCATCCTGGCAATCTTCCTGCCCATCACAGCGCCATGTTTCAAAGATACACAGGTTGGTGCCACAGTGAAAGTTTCCGGGTTGGCACGCAAAACAGTTCTTTTCGTCAGAGCCATCTGGGCAATTCTTCTGGTTGTTGCAGCGATCCAGAGATGAATAGCAGAGTCCGCTCCCTCCTTCACAAGGGTACTCGTTGACCTGACAAGCTGGGCAATTCTCCTCGTCTCTGCCATTGGGGCAATGCCACCACCCATCACAGCGCTGGCTGTCGGAGAAGCACGTCTCATCACTACCGCAAGTGTGTTCCCATGGGAGACAGAATCCTTTGACCTGGTAGGTTGCATTGAAGCCGTGACCGGTACTCTTTGATCGGGCATGGTATGACAGAGTGAGTTGGCCATTTGGAGACTCTGCGTTAACCGTGTGCCTGTTGTTGCGTACAGTTAGCGTCTGCAGGAGTCTGTCACTTTTCTCACCAATGCCATCGTAAACTTTCACAAAGTCACTGTATCCCAGCTGTAAATCCATTTGAAGGATGATATGCCGGTTATCCTGAGTGTCTACATACCAAGTACACTGAATGTCTGACCGGCTGTGGTCAGGACGAAAGAAGTCTGGTGAAGCAAACGAACCGTAAAAATTACTCAGCTTTCCACCACATGACAGATCGGGGCAGTTATCCTCATCCGATCCATCACTGCAGTCTTTGATTGTGTTACAGCGCAGCTCGTTGGGTAGACACTGCGTAGACTGCGCCGTACTGCATGCGAAGGTGCCAACGCGACACAGACTGGTGCGCGTCTCAGTGGAAGGTATTGAGCAGTTTCTCTCATCGGAGTTGTCCCCACACTCGTCTATAGAATTACATTTCCACGTATTAGGGATACACTTCCCATTTCCACACAGGAACTCATCAGCTGGACAGGACGTCAGACCTATTTTTCCTACATGAAAAATGGAGAAGAAATATTATTGCACAAAATTAGGTGATTTTTAAAAAAAATTTTTATTCTGGCAGAGGATATGGCATTAAACTCAGGCATAGATGCCATAGAATATTATTAAAAAAAAAATTGGCTCTAAAACTTTTAAAGATTTTAAAAAAATAACATGTCTAACACCCCAAGCACATTGAGTAGAAACCCCCAAGGGATTTATTCACGGTCTGGGTTATGCAGTAAAATGTGAAGTGCTGTAAATTGAAAGGGTTCTATTTACTACACAGCGAATCGCAGTAAATGAAAATACGAATTGCAGAACTGATCTTAAAATAAGCCAAGCTGTGATTATTGTTGAAATGGAGAATTATTTTTTTTCGAAACCAGTTCTTCTGGCCAAAACTGTACAATTCAAATTTCAATTCACTGCAATTTGGTTTGTAGGGAATAGAAAACAGCGGTCTGGGAAGAATGTTTCCAGTTTTGTAAATTTGTTTGCATAATGGAAGTGTTGGACAAGCTATTTAGGTCACCAGCCTACTAAGAGTGGAGTTAAAAGGTTTTAAACTCGCCTTTTCTCCATTGTGTCCATGGCTGAGATCAATCTTGATTATCTCAGCCAATCCAATACTTTCCCATAGGAAAGCATTTGGAGGTTGTTGCGCATGCGAGACAAAATTCTGCAGTGCACCAATCAGCATCTCCTCATAGAGGAGTATCCAGAGCATGGAGACGCTGAACATAGGTGCTGCACATATTGCAGCACTGTAATAGAAAGCACCTTTAGTGGCCGTCTCAGTGACTGCCACTAAAAATGTTAGCAGGCAGCAATGTAAACTCTTCATTTTCTCATTTATATTAAAAAGCGTGCAGGTACAGGCTATAGACATCAGAACCACTACATTAAAGGGACACTGTAGTCACTATAACCATTTGAATTATAGTACCTGGAGTACCCTGGCACTGTCCCTCCATTCAGTGTTGTACCATGTTCGTGCAGTATGCCACACAATAAGAGTCCCTGGCCACCCACAGTCTGGCTCCTTCTGTATGTGTAGCTAAGGCAGAGATACTTCCTTGTTGTCATACCCATTCATACCGTCAGTTGGAGCTCTGACAGGCTAAAAGTAGTCAGCTGACACTCTCAGTCAGACCCCTGGTGGTGATTATAGAAACTACAATATTATTGAGGGGACAATAGTCCTTTTTTGTAGCAGTAAGACTGAGTCTTCATCAGAAATTGCACATTTTACTGATTACAGCATGTTTTTAACCTTGTGATATGTTTCAAATTAACAGATATTCTGGAGGGCTAGTGTGCCACTCTGACCTTATTTTGTAGTATAGACTGTAAGCTCGTTTAAGCAGGATCCTCTTCAACCCATCGTTCCTGTACGTTTTTTGTAATTGTCCTATTTACAGTTAAATTCTCCCCCCCCCTCCCCTTATAATATTGTAAAGCACTACGGAATCTGTTGGCGCTATATAAATGGCAATAATAATAATTATTATTATAGTGGCCCTAGTTATGTAGAGATTAAAACAAAAACAAAGCACGTTTTAGCGATTTAATAAAAGTTACTTTTTAGATACTTTTTTTTCCCCCCAGAATAAGCCAATAACTTTTTTCTTTCCCATAATTCTTAAGGCTAAAACCCTTTGGTCTAGTAGTGGATCTTTTCAGCTATTAGATGCGTTGCATTTCTATGTTCAAACTATTGACACACAATCAGAATATTTTCCTAACAGAGTCAATTGTCAGGATCTCCCAGAAAGAAACAAACATGAAGTGAGCATCACGTCATCACAGAACATCACGTCATCCCTGGTTTATGATCACACCAAACACCAGATGGAAAAGAGTCCTGATGACCACATCAGTGGTCCCCAACCTGTTCCTCACGACACCCATAACAGTAGAGGATTCTTTTTTATGGAGGATATTGACAAAACCTGGACACTGATGGCCATGAGGACAAGATTAGGAACCTCTAGCATCACTAAGCTATAAGCAAGGGATGATATGTGTTCAGCGTACCTCTGATGTAGGACAGACGAAATCCCTGAGATTGCCCTGAGCTCGTAGCATCAGAATGGAAAAATATCCAGACATGGTCCCTTGACGAGGTAAAAGCTGGAGGGGTGGTGGAGCCACAGACCTTGTACTCTTCCCGTTTCGAAGATGGGCCGATCAACAACCAGTCAACTGAACACTTGTGAGAATCTTCTAGGTCAAAATTCTTAAAACTGTCGAATGCAAGTCAACAGGCATCATCAGTCAGCATACTTCTAATGTAAAGTTCTCATACAGTGCTTGTATTCAGAGCACGTTACAAAATGTAAAATTTTATCACAGGGTTACAAACCGAGTGATAGGCACTGGTATAAATGGGGCACTTTGGGAGGTTTATTTTTTTTTAACAATCTGTTTTTTTAATTAGACATGAGCATAACAACATGATAATGCATGGTTAAAGTTTGGACAACATAAGAAATATGCAGAATATATAAGTGTTATGTCACTTGACAATAGAAATGCAAAATCAAATGTACATTGAAAACTTGCCTACAAAGCATGGTTTTGCAGCATGTTTCGGTCACCTGTGGGATGATCGGGCCTGTGGTTTTTATTTATAAAATGTATGAAAATGTACGCAGAGTACAACGCCCCAGACTCTGAGGTGGTAATTGGTAGGCTAGTGGGTACCAACAGTGTTTCTGGTTCTCTTAGGGCAACGATATATGAAGAGTGTAAATAGAGTGAACTTAGCGGATTGTGTGTCTACCAATGGCGGTTAGCCACGTAGTACATGGAATATACAAGCAAGGCTTTAGGCATGTATGAGAAGCTACAGAGTTTTGGAACTCCACACTTTAGGATTTTATAATGTTCGATTTTATTAAGGTTTTGTAAAAGCTAAATATTTATTTATTTATTGAATACCATATTATATAAAATAAAACCAGACTGTAACTTAAAGGGACGCTATAGTCACCAGAACAACTACAGCTACAGTACCTGTAGCCATTTTCCTGTAAAAGCTGTCTTTTCAGAGGAAAGGAATGGTTTACATTGCTCCCCAGGGACACCTCCAGTGGCCACTACTCAGATAGCTATTAGAGGTGCTTCCTGGGGCAGTGCTGCACAGTGTCTCCTGATCTGCATAGAGACACTGAACTTTCCCCATAGAGATGTATTGAGGAAAGGTGACAGGGTGGCTTTTGACTCTGGCCCCTAGCCCACCTCCTTGGCATCATCATAATTGAAACTCTTAACAAATCAAATGCTTTACTATGGGAAAGCATTGTAATTTGCTGAAATAACCACTTCTGATGATGTCAGCACCAGCAGACTAGATTAAAGTTAAGATTTTACTATATTTAGGAGGGCGGAAGAGGGGGGGTGGGGGGCAGGAGTGATAGATAGTGTTTTTAACAATAGGGTCAGAAATACATGTTTGTGTTCCTGACCCTATAGTGTTCCTTTAACTTTTTAAAAAGAAAATGTGTATGTATCTTTTAAAACAAAACAAAAAATTAAAAATTAAAAAAAATAAAATAAAGCATAGAACTGGGCACGGGGATTGACTGCCGTGCCAGATGTTTGCACAGCAAGTGAACTCCTCAGCAATTCTTACGAGTTTGGCAAATATTCAGCTACTTTATTGCTGATTATCCACATGATTACCCTAGAAAAAACACTACAGCCTCTCCCTTTTAGACGGCAGACTGCTGTTCCTATTTTGCCTAAGGTTTCTACGGCTGCAGCCTTGATGAGGGAGGCGGTTGATACCTCGCCTCGGATCCAACGCATCTAGCTGTGGTGTTTCTCTTTGGGTGTCCCGCTTCCCCCCCCTTTTGAACTGTGGGAGTTATCCCGGTCCCCACTGTGGAGTCGGCTCACTAAACTGGGCCATGGACTGTGCATCGGAACGGAGGCACAACTTTGGAAATCGCCATCAAGGGATATACTTCTCTAGTTTGATTACCCTGAAGTTCTTGGCTCAGTTGTACCAACGACCAATTCCAACAAGGCCTGATACATACCTTCTAGATGGGGGTAAGTGACAGCACGGATGAAATCTTCGGATACCTGGTATGCCTGCCAGTACTCCAGCCATAGTCACACCATCCCAGGCTGAGAGCCACTTGGGATTACATCAACCACATCCATGGAATGCCTTTTGGAGGAGATGTCGTAGCCTATAATCTGAGTCCCCGCACAGACCCGCCAAGGGGAAAGACTTGGGCACTACATGTTCCTGGATTCGTGGTGATGGTTTGGTTCCACTTCTTTGCTATACTATTTGGACTTTGTAGGATTGTCCTAACCTTACCTAGTACAGGAATCTATTGACTGTAAAAATCTACATCTTGATGGCTCTCTCTCAGGATTACATTTCGTGCTCCTTGTTTTGCACCCCGTATTCTCGATATTTATAAATCTCCTTCCGATAGGTGGCCTCCCTGTGGTTTCTATACTCTTATAAGTTGTATTATCTTCTCAGCTATCATTCTTTGAAAAGGCAACGATAAGCCGAGTAATTCTTAATATTGGTATGAACTAGGCAAATCGACTATCTTCCTTGTATTAAAATACGGTATTGGTTTTACAGAATTGGCTGTGTAATTTCTTTATATCACTCAATAAAGAAATATTGACAAAAAATAAAAAAATAAAAGCACAACATAATTGTGAAGAAATTCCCCTATTTGGCTTTAAAATGACAATTTGTATTCCCTTATTTCATGTTAGCTTTCCCTATGGCATTCGGTAGGTAAAACTACCGAATCGAGACCACCCCGTTGCCTATTATGAATACTTTACCTCCCTGCTTGCTGGGCATGTTCGACAAAAGTTCTGCATGAACGGTATGCACCGCCGCCATTTCGGGACTTCCACGTGTTCGCGGCCATTTTAGCTCCCGAACACTGACAGACTCACTGGAGTCAAGCGAACCATGGATGGTAGCTGGATGGCCGGCCGTTCGGGAGGTTTTTCATGCGACCTAAGACCGACTGCAGGGCCAGAAATCGTGGAACCGTTTTCGGCTACTTTGCCCGTGCAGTCGGTCAAAACTTCTGAGTCCCATATCTCCCGAATGGCTGAACCGAATGGACTGATTTTTTCATATGTTGGTCCCCCAGAGTACAGCTATTCGGGGATATAGTCCTTGGGGTACATCCAGACTTTGGGGAAATTATGTTCCATTTTGATTGTGTTAAATGGTTATCTGAGGGGAGGAGATGTACAGTATGTATATTGTTATGATTGGTTATACAGTTAATTATATGGGAGGCTCCCTTGCATGGGCAGAATCCCATAAAAAGAGAATGCCTGTCAGTAAATCCTTAGCTCATCTTTGTACCCTTCTTCTGACTACGTATGCTGTTTGGGAGTTTGTGTGTTTTACTGAGGGAATTATCCAGGGACACTATTGGAATTACACTGGGATTCGTCTACCATAACTACCGAACGGAGGGCTATGTTCACTAGGCTCTGGCGGTTCGGGAGGAAACTACCGATTGAGGTTTAAATGCACTTGGTTTCCTTACAATAATTTTTTCCCTCTACTGATAAATGTATTAACGGTTGTCTGCAGTAACACTTATGACAAGATGCAAATGACTTTACCTTATTGTTATAACATCGCCGTGATCTCCTTGTATGTACCAGCTGCAATTCATGGTAGGCGGATAGTTTAGGGGCCAGGCTGGACTATATATGACCCCTCGCCTCTCTGTGTGCTGTTCCAGTTTACCCCCGCAGGCGGCTGTCACATCGCGGATGGAAATGAGAATAGAAATGATTTCTATTAATATAGCACACACAAGGTCGGAAAACAAAACCAACGTACAATACACTAGATCAAAATGGAACAGAAATCTCACGATGAAAAATAAGAACAAGGTCATTAAAAGTATTCACAGGCCAATCTCTTTCTGTAATGAAAATATAAAAAATTGAAAACCATGTGGAATTTTTAGTCTGAAATGCATGAATTGGCGGGTGGGGGGGGGGGCTATGGTAAGGAAATAAACTCTATAAGATCTTTGTGTGTTTGTTTTATTTTTGTTAGTTTGGTTTTTGGTTCTATTATTAATCACCCCCTGAGTTAGGTTTGCTTACAGATTGGCTACTCTGATCTTAAAGGGATACTATAGTCACCAGAACAACTACAGCTTAATGTATAGTTTACAGCTTAATGTAGTTGTTCTGGTGAGCCACAGATGGACAATAGAGGTGATTCCTGGGGCAGTGCTGCACAGTGTGTAGCACTGACATTTAGCGTCTCTACGCTCTGCATGGAGATACTGAATGTTCCCCCATAGAGTTGCATTGATTTAATGCATCTGTTTGGGCAGTTGCTGATTGGTGCTGTGCAGTGTTTTGCATGTGCAATAGTCTCCCAATGCTTTCCTATTGGATAGCAGTGGATTGGCTGGGATCATCCATTTTGATGATCACAGCCAAGGAAGCAGAGCAACAGACCTGCGCGACGCTGGAAAAAGGTGAGTTTTTACTCTTTAAATTGAGGTAAGGGGGCCAGGAGCATAAATTGTGATTTCAACACTTAAGTGTCAGGAATACACGCTTGTGTTCCTTTTAATTTGAAATTCACTTTGAATTGCTACTTTAGTAAATATTCCTGTTAGAATGCATTGCTTGAGATATATACAGGAGTTAGAGAAAAGTCTCACGAACGGAGCAACCCACAGGCTTACGGACATCTCAGAATCTAAGACTTTCCTACTAGCCTTTTGCCTTGCCACTGCTAAGCCGCAACAATGTCCCACGCAAGAAGCACATCACTGGGATGTCGATGCAATACAACCCTTCATCCCTGCTGGTGGCAAGCTACCTGCATCCAAGCCCACTCCCAACGGCTAAGACTGTACATACTTTGATTTTGGTAACTTTCTTCCTTCATAGTGCTCTACTTCTCATGCAGACACAAAGTATGTTTCACCACTGAACTTTATTTTTTATTTTAAATTTTTCCTCTCCAACAGACCCACCAGTTACTAAGGCCAGAGGTTTGGTTCACCACTCGTGCACTTACCGTGCTATAAGCCGGACAGCAGCTACCAAGCAAAGCAAGTTTCTACTTTATTTTCCCCAGTGTTCATGTTCTATTATCATGATCCTTTTTATTCCCTCACTGCGTATTTTGATCCAAGTCTAGCATAAGTCAACGGGTCTATCTGGTCTAGTTATTGGGTACCTATCGACCCTACTGGGCATCTCCCTACTCTGCTGGGTATATGGGAGTCCTAATTTTGTATAATGATCCGAGTTTAGCATAGGTCAACGGGTTTACCTGGCCTAGTTATTGGGTACCTATCGACCCTACTGGGCATCTCCCTACTCTGCTGGTTATATGGGCGGCCTAGTTTTGTATAATGATCCGAGTTTAGCATAGGTCAACGGGTTTACCTGGCCTAGTTATTGGGTACCTATCGACCCTACTGGGCATCTCCCTACTCTGCTGGGTATATGGGCGGCCTAGTTTTGTATAATGATCCGAGTTTAGCATAGGTCAACGGGTTTATCTGGCCTAGTTATTGGGTACCTATCGACCCTACTGGGCATCTCCCTACTCTGCTGGGTATATGGGCGTCCTAATTTTGTATAATGATCCGAGTTTAGCATAGGTCAACGGGTTTACCTGGCCTAGTTATTGGGTACCTATCGACCCTACTGGGCATCTCCCTACTCTGCTGGTTATATGGGCGGCCTAGTTTTGTATAATGATCCGAGTCTAGCATAGGTCAACGGGTCTATCTGGCCTAGTTACTGGGTACCTATTGACCGGACTGGGCATCTCCCTACTCTGCTGGGTATATGGGCGGCCTAGTTTCTGACTTTATCTACACAAAGTGGGCTATACCACTCCACTGAAAGTTACGGCAGTTAATGCAGCGCATCTCTGCGCTTATCTGACCAAATTGATCCCCTAACTCTGCCTCCTGTCCCTTGGCCTACTTACTTAATCTCCCCCCTCCCTGTTCTCTCCACTTAATTGCTCTACAAGGAGTAGCACAGCGTAACAGCACAGTGGTACCGATAGGGCAAAGCGCCTAAATTATGAAGCCTTACCCTGCTTACCTCCCAGGCTTCAATCAAGCGTGCTCCAAATTAGGAACACACTCCAAAAAACCAAACACTCTTTTACCCCCAATCCACGATCGCGTGGACAAGTATTAACGAGGTTCAA